TTCCACCAGGTAAGAGGCCAGACCCCTCTTGTATATTGCTCTGCCCCACTGGTGGACAAGCAGTTCTTCAAGTGTCATTGTGGATCCCAATACTGCCTTTTTAGATGGAGACCTTGTAAAAGCACTGCTTGAAACATGTTTGTTGTGATTAACACCTTCAGAGTACATTTAGCCATCCTGATGTATCCAGGGAAACCCCTTGTGTTTGTGTCAGGTTACATGTAGCACTGTATTGGAAACATAACAAGGTTTAAATCAGTTAAAATCTTACTCTTGGATTTGGTTAATTTTAATAGGATAATGATACACCTTAGCTTTAAAAAGTTACCTTGTAAAAATATTTATTTCACAGTTTTTCTTTTTTAATTTTTTTCTTTTGAAGGCTGGTTTGAGTCTGCGGAAAGTAAACAGGCATGTGGATTTCCCATTGATTCTAGACTTAGCGCCATTTTGTGCTGCATCTTGCAAGGTACAATTTCAAGTCTTGATTTTTGTTGTACTTCAGCAGTTGGTGTCCTGATCACAAGTAAAATTGGATTGATGATGATGATGATGATGATTTTTAATTAAATTGTGAAGTGAATTTTCAGATAGTGTCCTGAGATCAGACCTGTAACTGTGTGCAATCCCATTCATATAAAGAATATCATAGATGTTAGCTAGTATATGTTAAGCTGTGGTGCCCTGGTGATGTTGGTGTATATAACAGCATTAAGACAAGTTTTATTGCCTCTGTGGTAACTAAATTAGTAAGACTACTGAGTACTTGTAATAGAGATATTTTGCTGCTGGAAATGCTGTGGATGGCTGTTTGCCTCTTTTGGAATCATACTGCTGATACCTACTTAACATACCAGTAAAATTTATCATGAAATAATTCACCTTTGTTTTGTGTGTTTCTGGGAATGCAGAATGTTATGGATGGTGCAAGAGTGCTGTACAGTCTTTATGGAATAGTGGAGCACAGTGGCTCAATGAGAGGCGGTCATTATGCGGCATATGTGAAAGTCAGAACATCCTCCAAGAAATTGCTGGAGCATATTTCTACCACTAAAACTGTTCTGGGTATGTACAAACAGAGCTTCCTTTCCTTTACTGTAAACCAAAGGTAACAGTCTACACGGATTTATAGCAAATAATTTTTTATCTGAGAATAATTGTGGTTTTTAGACAAGCTGTAGAAAGCCCATCCCAGGATGTGCTCTGGGCCAGGCTGGATGGAGCTCTCAGCAGCCTGGGCTAGGGGAAGGTGTCCCTACCCATGGCAGAGCTGTTAGAACTAGATGATCTTTGAAGTTTCTTTCAACCCAAACCAACCCATGATTCTATTAATTATTCTTTGTTGTTGTTGCACACAATGCATATCCTACTTCTACTATTAATCCCATATAGAACTGAGTGAATTTTGATTCAGCTATTAAACAGATAATTGAGGGACAACTTTCCTCTCTTTCCTACTCAAAATAATACATCCTGATGAATACTTTTGCCTGATGAAATTTAATTATTTGGCATATTTGGTATCTGAAAATCGTTTAGTACACCAGTCAAATCCATTACATTAAATTAAATTACATTTTCTGAATATTTGAGCATTTTATGTATCTTAGGTATTTTAGGATGAGAGTTTTTTAATACTTAAAAATCTGGAATACTGTGGCTTAATGTGAACAGCAAGAATCTTTTTCATGGAAGATACAAGATTTGGTGTAGGGTTTCTGTTGGCATTTTGAGAACAGCACACTAGTTCTTTCTTATTAACTTGCTGGATATGCAGAACAGATGATTGGGGATACAAGCATCATTAAGTCACCCTAGGACAAGAATGAAATAAGTTTCCAGGACAGAATCTGCTAATGAAAAATTTCTAGCAGCAACAATATGTTAAGCTGTCAAAGTGTTAGGTAAATATATTTACTGTTTCCCTTCTTGGGGGAAAGTGAGACTCAAAGCATTATCCTTTCTATCCTATGTATTATCACTTTATATTTGAAGCTCATTTCCCAGAAAGACAATATTTTACATTATTCATGAAACCAAAGTTTCCTTCAGTCTTATGCTTATCTTGCAATGATTATTAGAACAGATTAGATCTTTTCATGTTCTTAATTTCACACTGGTCAGCTTTTAAAATAAGACCTTTTTTCTATATCAGAATTGGTTGTGTTCTAGTATAACTTCCTGTTGGAACTCAGCAAGCTATATTGGAAATGTCTTAGGCTTTCTAAAAAATATGAAAAAAGCCATGGCAGCATCCATTCCTAGGCATTGTCTTCCACCAATTTGACATGTAAGTTTCAGACTGAATAGCAGACTGTATCTAAGTAATGAATTACTCTTGTATGTTAAAAGTTTCTCCTGCTTTTTGAAATGACCACTGTATTTGCTTGATGATGTCATGAAAGACAAGAAAAAAATTTCTTTTGCTTCTGCATTTCAGGTTTAAAAGAAGCCATGGGAGCGTCAGGAGGACAGTGGGTGTACGTTAGTGATGCCCATGTTCAGATGGTTCCAGAGTCAAGAGTACTAAATGCACAAGCATATCTACTTTTTTATGAAAGATTATTACTATAATTCTTATCAGTTTAATTTCAAAGAAGGTAGTGTTATTTAGTTTATCTTATTTAAAGCTGCAGTGGTAAGAGTACCTGTAAATATTGTGCCTTTATCTTGTAGAGAATTTATCATATTTTGACTCTGAAGTTCAGTTAAACTATTATAAATATCTGAATGATTCTCTTAAAGTATGCACTTTGCCAAACATGTAAAATTCCTGGGTTCCTTAAAATGCAGTACCGTTAGAATGTAAGATGATGTCCTATCCTACTGAGGTCTAGGGAAAGTTTGTTTTTGATTATAATACAGATAAGCTTTCGCCCATAGTTCTAGAACAGTTGAGAGTAGAAATACTGATAGTGCTAAGTGCCTGGATTTGCTGGTGTACAGTAAGAATACAAAGTGTTCAACTTCTTCTGATCCAGTCCAGACCCTTCCCATCACAGGGTTGGATGTCAGCTGTTAGGATTTCTGCAAACAAGAGCCTGTCAAATAGTGTCGCTTCCATGTGTAGTAATTGGAAAGCAGAGTCCTTCCAGAATGGAGTGACAACAGCTGTCTCTGGGTAGTGCTTCAGTGCACTTTCCTGATAAGAGCTGGGAATAGATTGGGAAAACGTGGCTTCTAAATAGTGACAGTGAATCCTCAGATAGCCAGTACCCTTTCAGTTGTCTCCAACTGGCACTGGTATAGCAATGTACTCCTGTTTCAATATAAATATGTACTTGGTGTGCGTAAGTATATCCTATGAGATATGTACACACACCATAAATCCATCAACAGATATTGTCATTTTACCTTCTAGGAAAGAGAATTGCAAATAATTTCTGTATTTAGTAATTTTTCAACTTCACAATTATGACAATGTACAGCATATAGGCTTGTGTATGTACAGAGTTTAAGTGTAATTCAGTAAATTCTGTTACTTTTGGTTCCAAACATGAACTTGTTTATCTGTTCCTGAATACTTTTCTCACAGGAGTAATAAACTATAAATTATTTTTGCACTGTGTGTGTGAGTTGGACAGTAAATGATGACTTTTGCTCTCTGATACATGTCTGGACTTCCTGTTGTCAGCAGTGGGGGACAGCAGGAGTCCAAGTGGCAGAACAGGTTTCTGTAAACTGTGTGACTACCCTGTTCTGAGGTGATACTTCCTTTGGTAATTTCTCATTTCCATCCCAGAGGGTAACAGATACATTCTAAGGTGACCTGATGACTACTTGAAGTTATGTGGTAATTAATTTGTTTAACAAGCAGTTGCTTAAATACAAATTACTTCCGTAACAGTTCCATCCTGTATGACTTGCTCTTTGGTAGAGAAAAAAAATGTTAATATAGGCTTACTGTTTTCATTTATGATAATGCTTTTTAATGAAAAAACATGCTGTCCCTATTACTGTCTGTACCACACGTTGTCATACCTACCTGCCTGACTCTCCTATTCTCTGCTTCTGTTTCAGAGCTTCATCCCACTTGCATTCCCTCTTTTGCATAAGAAAATGGCACAACCTCTTAGAATTGCATTTGCTCAAACTGCTAGGGTGTATCTTACAGCCGCATGACTTGCACCTTCTTGTGCAGGCACTAGGGATTGTTAGGCCATAAAACTGATAGTCATAATGGAGTGAACCTCTGGTTGTACAACATTTTATTTTCAAAATGAAAACTCCTCTGTTTAGATCAAAATTAGGCTATGTGTTTTGCGCAAAACCATGTTTTTTTCCTTGTACAAATTAAAATTGTCTCAGTCTATCCAAAAGTAGTAAAAATCAGAGAAACCAAGCAGCCAGCTTTAGCTATCTGTATTCCAGATAACAACATCTTAACCTAAGTCTACACTAAGTAAAAAAGAAAGATAATGTTTAGATGAGAGTTGGTTAAAATACCATAATTCTCTTCTAGCTCCTTATCTTCCCATACCATTCATCTACCTACACACACCTTTATCCTCTTTGTACTTAGCTGATCAAAACTCAGAATTAGTTCCAGGCAACAGTCTAGCAAATGGCAACTAAGTATCCCTTATGTGACACAACCCTGCTAGGACACACGGAGTGAATCCTCCACCCTAATGCACTCAGAGTGAGTAGCTGACACCTGACATTGCTCTCTTTGTGACTTCTGGAAAACTACTGAATTTAGGTACCTGTATTACTCCACTCCTTAGCCTAGAACTACTTCCCTAGACTGCACAGCTAGGAGAGAAACAGAACGAGGTTCTTAACCTGTTACTTCCTACTTTTAATGCTGTTTTCAGGAAATTCCTGAGGTGGTCTTTGCTCCTTTTTAACTGGAGTTTGCAAGCTGTTTGGTGAAATTTTCCCAAGTGGACATAACTGCCTAGGATGTCATAAAAGATGCCGGCAGGATTATTTTCTCATTAACAGCCAAGGAACATTTACTTGTATTTACAGGTATTTTATACAACATAGAGAGAAAGTGCCACGAAAAAGAGCCAATGCCTTTATTCAAGATAGCCATCGCTGTTGTTCCTGGATGAGGTGTTCTGAGCTGAAATAAAACGGTATGTTGGCAGGAACTCTGTAAGCCTTGAGTCAGAATCAGGTATAAAAATATGATAGAAGGAAGCATTCTCTAAAAAGGAAGGCAATAGTTGAAGTTATGTCTTCACAATGAAAAAACTGATGACCAATGCAAGATGTCACACACAATTTTAGATGCAAGTCACAGTGTCCTTTACACAGACCTAAGTTATTTTGTGTAAATTTTGGCTCTAAAGAAACTACATAAATGTGTATACTGAAGACTTAAAATTTTTTATTAGGAATTGGAAAAGAAGCTCAGAGCATTCTGGGAAAACAAGAGTATACATCACATATGTGCTAGAATGTTAAATATGATTCTAGAGTCAAGGACTTGGCAGTTTCCTGCAACTACCAGATGTGTGCATGCTATTGAAAAGCTGTATGTTTTCAGATTTTAAGTGAAGGGCTTGAAAGTTTAAGACTCCTTAAAATGTCTTATGTTGCCAACGAACAATCTCTTCAGGCCGACAGCATGTACTCTTTACAGAGCTTCACCATACTTTTGTGGTCCCCCACCCTGAGAAAGTGCCTGGGTCTTCATGTGGCAGAGCTTCAAAACAGCTTTCTCTTCATCCCACCATTCTGTTCTCACAAGGGCACCACTGCTTTCTTCATCAGCTCCATTTGTTCTTTATGTTTTTGGGGTCTCCATAAGCCTCTGTGTCAATGTCTTTGCTTTCATTGATCCTTCAGCATGATATAGTGGTTCCCAATCTCATCACTTATTCTGTGAGCTTGCAAAGCTCTTGCAGGAAGAGCTGCTGTAGCTGTAGTCTGGTCTGTCCCCACCACCACACTGGCTCTGCCTACAGGCTGCAGTACTGACCCCTGAGAAAAGCTGCGGCTCCTGAGCAACTCTCTGCTGACCAGTCACAAGACAGTGCCTGTAGAACAATTACAAAGGATTCAAATTAAATAGTTCCTCACTCATCAGTAAGTAATGGGAATACTTCACCTATGGGATATATGGACAACTGGAACCCTCTACAATTTTCCCTAGAACAGAGGCATCAACAAAGACCACTGCATCAGCTAAGGAGTTAGTACAGATTATAAGAAAGAGCTTTGTTATCTTTGGATTTATATATCATTTACACCAAAAGTGGCAAAAAAAGGATGGGGAGATTTACTATACTAACCTGTCTACAATATGTGTACCGACATCATGTTTGCATTAGTCTGGTCTCCTAAGAGATGGCTACAAATAGAGGTGAAGGAAAAACAAACCCTGAACTTTGCCGCCCAAAACGTACACACTGTAATCACTTTTGTTTAGAAAATTAAATCCATGCAGTCTGCCAGCCTTCCTCCCCTTTCCCATCTGCACCCTCTGTGTGTATCAATGAAGTGCTCTTGCTTATGGATTTCAAGTGGTAGCAGGTGAGAGTGGTTTATAAATTCATTAAAAGGCTGAAATGTCTTAACTTCACCATTTGCTTCTCTGTACGCTTCTTTTTTATACACAAACTGAATCATAAAGGGACATGAAATTAATGCATCTAAATTCTCAACCCATTATAAAAATCTTATTTGAACATATTGGTAACAAAATAAGAAAGGAGTAATTTCTTTAGTAGAAAATCTATGATGTATTAAAAAGGAAACAAATTAGATGGGAACAAAGAAGCATTTAAATACAACTCTTCTGTTAACAATAATTAACAAATTCAATTTTCATTAAAAAGTGGTAGCACACCTCAGTTTTAGCTATCTGTATTCCAGCTAACAACATCATAACCCAAGTCTACACTAAGTAAGATAGATAATGTTTAGATGAGAGTTGTTACAACAACCCTGATTAAATAAAGATTTGATACTCCTTAGTTTTCAATATCTGGACTCTATTTTGCTGTGCCCTGTACACATTTATGCATTTGTACAAAGATTTGTACATCTTTGTGAAAGAAAGGCCACTATCCTTTGGGGGAACCATTTCAGTCTAATTATTTTAGAACATATTGTTCCTTCTGTGTCTACTGTTTACCATGTCTTAGGCTGTCATTTTGCCAGCTGTTCTAGCTGTTGTACCTCTCCTGTTGTTGTATAAACAAATTGCAGAAATAGTGGAAAAGTGATTATTCAAAATGATTCATAATCTATTTTTTTTGTAAATGAGATTATAAAATATATTTTCAGATGGATGTCTGTGCAAGTCAAAACATTTTCTATGTGCAACATTACATAAGAAATTTAAGTGAATTTTTATGTTATAATAAAACCATTGCAATGCTTTGTAGCCACTTCACAACTACTTGGTGTATATTCCGCTTATATAAACTTATAAATACTTCCATCATCATTGATAGCAGTAGAAAAAACTAACTTTTAAGTATCAAGAATGTTTCTTACATCTATTACAGCTTCCAGTATTTTTCTAGTACAAAATGTAAAGATGCAGAACTGCTATTAAAAGAAAACAAGAGCGTTTATTATGAGTGAGTTTATGACTTCTTAGCAATTACCTCATTGCTTTGCTAGTTTAGGTTTTTTTTGCTTTTGAGCTGTGTAACGTGGGAATTGTTTTAATGTATTCTGTAGTGAAACCACCCTGTCAATGGCCACCATTCCCTATTTAGCCATTCCACAAAGCTGAGTTCTGATTCTGCTGTCATTTATACATGGAGATAATCCCTGGTGTGTTTATGTGTGCTTGCACTTACACAAAAGACAATCCAATAATCAAAAATCTTGTTGCTAAGTTCAAAATACTTGTGAGCAATAAATCAAGCATGTTAAAACTTTCATCTAGTTTTCATTCATTTCCTTTTTTCATCTATTTGAACTAACAGTCTGACTCTACTGTGCAGGTATTTAAATGGCAAATAGTATTTTTAGAATTTCACTACAGTGCTGATACATGGTACATTTCATTTGTAGATTTCTGATTCCAAATATTACTAAGTAAACAGGGTCTTACATACAGACTGTACTTAAACACAAGTCTGATCAGTTTTCCAGTCTAACCAAGGTGCTTTAACAAGTTTCTGAGAGAATAGCTGCATTTGTCATCTATTCATTTTGTCTTTTCATGTGTTATATATTGTTAGAAAAATGTGTAAATAAAACATCCAGCCGTTTGGAAAGCTGTGTTATTTAAACATAAGCTATATGTTGAACATCTGAGTTAATGTATTTTTGCTTGTGTTTTGTCTCACATCATACCTGCCTGTGGAAGAGCTCCCAGAGATGAGGCCATATCCTTGGACACTTAAGGTGCACCTCTCGTTTCCCCTGCCTTACCCTCTGTGGCAAAGGGCACAGATACAGTTTGTGCCCTTTACAAGAACTGAGTTCTGCAATTCTGTGATAAAACCAGGACCAAGAGTGGGACTCCCTCACATGCCTGGTTTCAGTAGCAGCTGGAAGTTTGTCCATCCATAAGCATCACTCCAGAGTTCCAGCTGTGAGTCGACAGACTTAAAAATTTCATGACGCTTCTGTCCATGGAAAGCATTCTCAATCCTGCCATTCCATGTGACACAAAGAGGGGAAAATCTAGAATGCTTCAGCCAACGCTAATATGTAGCCTAACTGGCACTGACAATCGTTACAAAAGTTTCTTGAATCCTTCAATTTTCTCTAGATTTATAAGACTTAATTTTGTACTCCGTGTGGGTATTAATATAACTTAATGCAATGATCAGAGAGACTGTGGATGTTTTAGGCATTTACATCCGTGAGGCTGAAGGAAGGGAAGGCAGTGATCCCAGCGGTAAGTAATGTGCCAGCTAATGGAAACCTCTGCTCCACACAAAGGAACGGAATTACTCAGTCCCTGCCTGCAGAACCATCCCCAGTGTCGATACAAGATACAAGATGAGCTGTTTACTGCAGGTGATTTTTTCCCCCCTTCATGCCTTAAAATAAAAGGAAAAATTCCAGGTAGAACTCACAGAAGTGAATTTGGATATTCAGAATAAAATACTTGGAGAATTGTCCTTTTCACAAACACTCCTTATAGCCATACACCGGCCTGACTTTGAACGCTCACGCCCTGTAAGCTGTGCACATTAAGTTATTATGTATTTCAGAGTAGGGCCACTGCCCGGAGCCTGTCCATTAGTACTTACACCTCTTACAGGCGTAGCTACCAGCTTTATCAACTTCTTCATGCAGCTTTATCAACTTCTTCATGCCGACCCCGTACTGGAAGCACGGGTCACACTCCGACTACAAGTTACCCGTGGAGCCGCAGTACCGCAGGCGGGAAGGTGAATCCCGCTCGGCTCTCCCCGCTCCCGGGCGGGGGCGCGTCCCCGCCTCCCTGTCCCGCCGCGGCTGCCCCGGAGCGCGCCCGCAGCGGGACGGGCAGCTCTGCCCGCAGTAAAGATGGCGGCTCGGGCGTTGGCGCTCCGGTCGGGGCGAGGGGAACGGAAAGCGCCGCCCTCAGCAAAGATGGCGGCCACAGGCTCCCGTATATGCCAGGCGAGGGTCAGCACCGTGACGCCTTTCACTTCCGGGTGAGCGCCAGCGGGCGCCATATTGTCTTGTCCGTGAAGACGAGGAGTGATAGCGGGGGCAGCGCGGCCGCGGAGCGGCGGCACCGGCGGCGGCGGGAGGCGGGGGAGCGCGTAAGTAGCGGGGCGGGCTGCGCTCGCCAGCGCTCCCGGGGGGCCGGCGGGTGTCGCTGACCCGGTCTTCCCCTTCGCTCCGAGCCGAACCGGGAGGGCGCCGCGCGCCGCGGTGGCGGCGGCAGCTGCCCGCCGGGCGTGAGGAACCGGCGGCACCGACAGCGGAAACCGGCGGCCAGGACGAGAAGGGTCGAGCCGAGAGCCGCTCGCCCTCCCCCGCTGCCCGTCCTGGGGGGGCGGCGCGCCGCGCATGCGCGGCGAGGGCGCGGGGGGGCGACGGGGGGTGCCGAGCGCGCGACCTGGCGGGGCCGGCGGTCCCGGGATGCTGGGAGCGCGCAGCCCGCCCGGCCGTGCCGGGAGCCGCCGGCTGCCCGGGATACAGCGGCCGTGGTTCCGCGGGGCACGGTGTCTGCTTGGTTTAGCCGGTAACCTAGTTAGGGAAGCAACATGTGCACTGGGATTTGGTAGTCGGCTGTGTCAGCAGCCCGGCTCCTGCGGATGAAGTGTATTTGTGGGTATTTGTGCTGTTTCATGGGTTTCGGGGCCGCTCCTATGAGTTCGTTCCACTGGAGGGCTCCAGAGAACTGAAACTCACACAGCGGCATTTGTAAGATACCTGGACCAGTAGCTTGGCAAACGCAGGGTGTTTTTAAATGGATCCTCAAACAGATGATGGGTTTGAAAGCCTTTTTGCTTTCAGCACTTATCCCTGCAGTTTCTCTGTACTTCATTAGACAATCCCACAAAGTTGTTGAAGTGAATTTTAATGGGGTATGCTAGGCTTTGCAGTTAAGGATGGAGACACAGAAGTGGTCTGAGGGCTGGAACCCCTCTTCTGTGAAGACAGGCAAAGAGAGCTGGAATTGTTCAGCCTGGAATAGAGAAGGCTCCAGGGAGACCTTATTGTGGGCTTTCAGTACCTAAAGGGAATGAAGGTACTTTTGAATATGAAAAAAGATGGTAAAAGGCTTGTTACCAGGGCTCTGGGTGAGGGACAACAGTATTAAACTGAAATACAGATATAGACTGAATGTAAGGAAGAATTTTTTTATTATAAAGATGAAGAAGCTGTGGAACAGGTGTTCCAGGGAAGTTTTGCAATTGGAAATGTCCAAGATCAAGTTGGACAGAACATTCAGCAACATCATTTCGTGCAAGATGTTGAACTAGATGGTCTTCAAAGGTCCCTTCCAACCCGAACCATTGGATAATTCTGTGCTACCCCAGCTGAAATTTCCTAAGTTTCTGTAACAAGTGATAATGCAGAGTATTCAGTCACCTTGGTTGTTGTTAATTTCTTCTCTTATAGTTAACACCTGTAAATGTTTTCAAGCAAACAGTCTATTGGAAGGTGTGGGATACAGGAAACAAGGGTTGCCCTAAAGGCTTTGCTTTAACGCAGAGTCAGCCACCTTCCAAAGAGAGGGAGTGATGGTCTTCAAAGCATAAAGGTGTCGACCAGCAGACAGTATTCTGACATCATTTTCCAAAGGCAGGGTTGCAAATACCAGTGCAGGCCAGCCAACAGCTGTACTGTTGGTAGGAGTAAGAAACCTCTCTTTGGAGTGCAGCTGCACTGAAGATGGCTCTTACGGGGGTGACAGATGCTGCAGCTCCCCTGACTGTAGAACAGCGGGGAGCTGAAAGTCTCGGCTTTGTCTGGGCACAAGCTGCTAGGATTGCTGACAGACAAGCTCCTGGTTTTAATTTGTTTGGTGCAGCAGCAAACCTTGTGTCATCTCTGCTGTTATGCCATTACAAGACTTCCCTTGTCCCATATGACATACAAACTCCTGCTCTGATAAGAATGCTTTCTGTACTTTGGGCTCAGAGGTGCTGTAGGGCTTAAGAGTCCACAAATGTAGCACAGTTCTACAGTTTTTTAGTGGTTAACTCACCTTATAAGCTGTAGTGGTAGAGTGGAGTTATAACCATGTTTGATTTTTAGTTAAGTGCAGGATTATGTAAAGATTCAATGGGAACAGTAGTGTCTAGTCTCAGATCTTTTCATGACTGAGGTACATGGTGGTTCTAAGTCTGCTTTTGGTGACATATAATATTTTGGGTAGGTGTTAAAGTGTTCTTACTTTCATCACTGGCTGATCCCTTGTTAAATGATAATTGTATTTATCATTGAGGTTAATATCTGCTCATGACTAGTGAGGAGTAGTTGTTTATTTTGTTATTGACACTATGAATTTTTGTGCAGACGCATGTTCTTTGCAGAGGAAGTTGCAGATGGACTGTTCACTTCAGAAAAAAAATAATGCTGTGTTACAGGGCTAATTGAAAATCCTGCATCAGGACTTTCAGTGGAATGATACATGAAAAAAATAATCAGATTAGACTTTCCCCCCCCCAACCCAGCACAGTTTTGACTTAAACTGCCTAAGTTATGATAATGTTTCTGTGGTAGTAAATGTTCTAGCAGTGATTTTGCTTTCCTACTCTATGATAATCAAATCATGTGTTTGTCTTTGTCTTAGAAATACAAAAAATAAGTAAATGGTCTCTGGATGCCAATATCTGGTCCTTTTGCTCTTTTAAAAAAGAGTTGTGTTCAGCTCAGTGGATATGTGGATGGAAGTTTAAATTGACAGAGAAGCTGTACTGTGGGAGTAACTCCCTGAAGAAGATTTCACAGTACCTTTTTTTTCCTTTTAGTTTTTCTTTTTTAAATTTGACCTTTGTTCATGCTGCTTCATCTTGTTAGCATTGTAAATATTAGTCAGATGTACTGATGTGTGAACCAGGTTCTGGAAAACTTCGTGGATACTGAGCAAGCTGTTTTCATCAGTTCTTTTTCTGGTTTTGTATTTTGGATCTTGGTCACACATTTGAAAAGCCTCTATTCTTCAGTATGAGAAAGAACACTTCTGATGTTAAAGAATGCAGTGGAGCAAATTTTAGCGGTACATAACTATGAGCTGGAAGATTTAACATGTTTTTTGTCTTGTCATCATGCTAACAGATCCCAGCAGGAACAAAGGTACAGCTTCTGGCTCTCAGGAGGAGAAAAGATGCATAGTATCTGGGCATGAAATACTGGGAACAACTTAGGCTGGTGCCCTACGTGATGCATAGAAGTCTTTGGCCAAGTGAAAGTGTCATGAGTGAAACAGAGTAGTAGGCAAGACGGTTACTGTAACTTTTTCTGATTTAGTGCAGATTTAAATTGTGCCATAAATGTTTGATTTTCTAATCAACAGCTGAATGTAATATAGTAGTAAATATTAATTCTCCCAAGTAAAATCGAAGCTGGTATGTTTTTGTCTGAGTGATGGTATGCATTTGTTCTGACTCTGAGTGAATGTGTCTGCAGCCACTCTGTAGTAACTTGCAGGGTCTGTTCCTATGTGGATGCATAGGATACAGCACTTTTCCAGACTCCCACATCTTGTTAACTGTAGAACTGTTCTGACTTACCTGGCTCTTCTATGCTAAGACCACCAGCTAATTATAGTTCTTGTGAGTGACACCCTTTCTGCATTAAATTTTTCTTCTTGGTAGGGGGACTCCTTTGGTTATGCAAAGCTATTTTTCATTTGCGGTTCTTTTCAGTTGCACCTCTTATGCACAGATTCTTACAGAAAAGTATATTTTATTCCAGTGACACAGTCATGGGTGAAGCACCCTGTTTACATTTCCTTCCAGTTGGGAGCACTTTGAAATAGACATCTTTGGAGTTTGTACCATGTGTGCCTATTACTGACTTTGGATTCCAGCTTGGTTGTATATTGATAATACCATGGCTGAGCTGCTCTTTCTGATTCCTTGGGAGAGCTATGTGAACTGTTGGTGTTGTACCCCTAGAGTATTTATCCACTAGTCCTTCCAGCCTCATTGGTGATGTTTTTGCTACCATGGCCCTGTTGAAGCAATAGCATAGTGGGAGAAAAGGGAGGGGGCAAACAGCTCTGCAGCAACACTTGTTCAGTTTCAACTCTTGGAGGTATTTGCCTTATTCTTGTCTTTCTACTAACTGATTTGATCCTGGTGTGGTGAATGTAGGATTAGGTTTATCCTGCTTGCAGGTGCACAGAATTCATCATGGAAGCTCATCATGAGCCTTCAGTCACTGTGCTAAAACTTCACAGAGTCAATACCAGCTACCTTGAATGAAAGGTAAAAACCTTACATTAGAATAAGGCATCCACATGACAGATCAAGAAATCAGGCTATTGATTTCAAGGAGCTCTGCTCCTGAAATATCTCCATTTTCCTTTACGTTCACCTTCAGAGCCTAAATGTATATGAAATGAAGAAACTGCCCACAGAGTATGTGATGCTTTTGAGATCCTTCTCAAGATGTGTTGTGGATGACTTTTGTAGCCCAGGTTCTAGAAAGAGCATCAGAGACTAATGTGCCTTTGCTGCTTGTATTGTCTTAAACTCACACCAAAAGATTACCAAGCTAATCACACTGGCTGTTCAATAACAGTGTGTTTCAAAACCAGTAATTGCAGTTTGTTATAAATCAGTACTCCTATCTCCTGGGGTCTTTCCCTTCAACTATATAGACCTATATATAGTCAAAAAGTCATGGCTGCACTGTCAGGTTACCACACAGTAGAACATCTTTCTAGCCTTTTTTTTTTTTTTTTTTTTTTTTTTTTTTTTTTTTTTTTTTTTTTTTTTTTTCTTTTTTTTTTTTGTTGGTTTTGGTTTTTTGCCAAGATACCTGACCTGTGAATGGAGTGCAAAAGAGTGTGTTGTCTTTAAACCCTGAGGTGCAAAGACTAGCTGTGTAGGGATTCTCCAAGTATGCATGATGACCTGCTCTTTCAGCTTCCT